GGGGGGGGGGGGGGGGGGCTTAGGCTTTGACAGAGCCAGTGCTGAAGCTGGTTACAAACATCGCATGAACATATCGGGCAGAGGACCGTGGTGAGAGGCCTGATGGAATCTGGACCAGCACCCGTGGCAAATAAGACATCTCGAAGTCAGCAGTGAAAACTCCAGCTTGCGCCCAATAAGTCTAACCGAACCTTGCCCTCGTGCCGGCAGCTAGGCTATGCCGAACAGCTGGCAAGGAAGAGCCCTTCACAGCTGGCCCCAGAAGTCTTGAAGTGGCAAAGGTTCCGCACCTCGCCAACTTCACATCCTCCGTGACCAAGATCTGCCGCCGAGGATAAGGGCGCATAAGCATGTCCAGCATGTACCTCTTCGAGGGGGTCTTTCGTGAGTTCAGAAGCAACCTCCACGAACACCCGTGACAAACACGTTGCAACGGTCTTTGCAAAGAACTTCCAAAGCTCTCCTTACAGTCGCCCTCTACTGTACCCTACGTTGGCACCTCGGATTGGCACCCCAAAGGTCACATGATCTCTCGATCGCAGCGATAATTTTCCCGGGCGCTCGTGTCGACGTAGGACTGTGAAAACCTGGCGCGGCACGGCCGTGCAAGGTGCCCCTTGGTCCGTGGTCTGTGGTCATTCATTACAATTAACAGCCTTCATAAAGCTACAGTTGCCACAACGGTGTGATGCAAGGCCAGTATGCTATTCTCACTTGCATCTCGGGCATTCAGCGCATAACTGGACGCAACCAACTCCGAAGCACGCTCTGCACTAGCATCTCTCTCAACTGGACAGCCAGAGCTCCGGGTTCATCTTTTTCCATGCCCGCTCCGCGCAGATGCTGCTGCGGCAAGAGGGCGCTTGATGGTGGTCAAGCTGTAGCCGTCTCTCATCACAGTCCCAGGACATCGCTCTGGGGGTGTAAGAGATCAGTGTTTTCAGTGCTTAGCCCCTAGCAAGCTACATGCCCATGCTTTTAAGTTCGTCAAGTCCTATTTTCCTCGATGCATTGCAGAAAGTCCATTCCTGGAGTAGGGGATATGGACGATGGATGGAAGCGATGCTATGCCCCTGTCCGGACCCCTGTGAGGTGTCCCAGCTCTGGAATCGGGGCTGGAGGTTCGCAGTTCAAGGTGTAGGCGCTTCATATCAGGGTTTGGGGCTCAGGTGTTCGATGTAGGATCCCTCCATCTGACTTGAGCCATCATGTTTTAACAAAGTTCTCATAAACTCATAAAGCCCTAGTTCAGGGTGTGCGCCTGGGACTTCCCTTCTAAACGCAAACAAAAACGGGTGGGGGAGGCCAAGAGAAGCCACGGCGGGCAGGACTGTCCGACTGTAAACCCATAAAGCTCTTGGTTTAAGGAATATACCAACTGTTCCTCATAAGGAATATACCCGAAAGTGAATCATAGATCTTAAGGTATATTGACGAAAACCTTACACTCCCTGAGTCACTTTCGGGTACATTACTTAACTGTGGGATTTCGGTCTCCCTGGTACCAAGCGTCAAGCATATTCACAAGTGAGCTGTGAATAAAGCCCTTGGAGTAACGACCTGCGTGACCTAGCACTCCTCAAGTGCTTGCATCACGCTGCCAAAAGATTACATCTGGAGCTGTTATCGCCAGACCTGGTCCCACGCCGCCCCTAAAGCCCCCACTTCCAACACCAAACAATCTCTTCGAGATTGCTTTGGCAACGGCCAGGAGGGCCGGAAAGGCACTGTCTGGATCGGTGTGTATTTTAGATCCGGGAAATGGCAGTTTGCAGCAGAGCCAGGGAGGTCATCGGCTGCTTAAATTGAAGGAATGCAATGGACTTCGACGATTCTTACGCACGTAGATTAATCATGCGCGCAAGCAACTCCATGACACCGTTGCAAGGCCGTGCAGAGCATGCTTGGTTTCGCAGGATTGTTTTTCTGCCCCGGATGAAAGCGCAAAGTTCTCGTTGATGATATGCTTTTCATATTGAAACCGACGTAGCTTTGGGTCAGGGAGTTGTTGTTTCGTGGAAATGATTTGCTCACCCGCTTTTCTATGATGCCAGCTTTAGAACAAGACCTATGCCGAGGTCGAAGCACAGAAATCCAGAAAGACATCACGGAATCTCTGGAGCAGACATGGCTGGGGTCAACATTTCCACACTCCGCAAACGCATCCACGGTCTACGCAACAGGCATCTCATATCACAATAAAGAAACCACAATTACAACAATCAGAGTAAATATACTAACATCGGGAACTCCGTCTTCCAGACACAATTTGCGTTTTGCTGTGGGAGAAAAAGCTGGATGCAAATTTGAGAAACGAGCGTTTTCGGCTGGCTTGCGTGGGAGAAAAGGCACTTCGTGAAAGACCAAAAGGCGCACTTGGCAGTGTCAAAATGACCAAGAAGTAGTTGACGATGCAGAGAGAAACAAAGACGAAGATGAAGATGAGGATGACGGTCAGGATGATGATGATGAGGAGGATGAGGATGATGATGATGATGGTGATGGTGATGGTGTTGGTGTTGGTGTTGGTGATGATGGTGATGATGGTGATGATGGTGATGATGATGAGGATGAGGCAGAGGAGGATGTTGATGACGATGATGATGATGGTGGATGCTCAGAACGTGGATTTCCCGGTCTTAAAACGGAATAGACCATGAACGTCATCATGGTTGTGCCGAGGATGCCCTTTCTCACTAGGGTTAAACCCAATGGATGCTCTTTTCTTAGACTGGATAACAGACCATGGATGCTCTCTTCTCAGAACCATCATGGTTGGGCCATGGATGCTCGCTTCTCAGAACAGATCAGACCATGGACGTCATCATGGTTGGGCCAGGGATGATCGCTTCTCAGAACAGAATAGTCGACCATGATGGTTGAGCCATGATGCTCTCTTCTCAGAACGGATATCAGACAATGGATGCTCTCTTCTCAGAGCGGATCAGACCAAGGATGCCATCAAGGTTGGGCTAAGGATGCTCCCTTTTCAAAAACGAGTTAGACCATGGAAGTCATCATGGCCGGGCCATGGATGCTCTCTTCTCAGAACGGATCAGACCATGGACGTCATCATGTTGGGCAGCCGAAGTTCAGGAAGGACCGACAATTTCGATGTCTTCGGCACGGCAAACGGCAAGTAGAGGAAACACAGTAAATACCGAGGGTTTGGGCAGGTGAGGAAACCGTGAATTTGCCTGAGCTGGGAACCACCGATATATGCGGCACATGAATCAGAGGAAACACCGGAAATACCTATGAAATGGGCATGTCGGTTTTGCACGTTTATATGGGGATCGAGCCAACAAGCACAATAACAATAACAGCAACATTGACAACAACAGTCATAACGACAACGACAAAACAAATAACACAAAAACAGTCATCCAAAAAATTCTAATTCCAGATTCTAACAAGAAGAAAAAGAATAAGAAGAACACCTGCCAATAGTAGCACTAGTAAAAATAAGAGTAATCATGATAATACCCAAGTGGTATATGCCGGAATGATGAACCTGCGAAGTCAAGTCTCAACTAGGTGCACTGTAGATCGGGGTTTGGCTCAAGGAATGGCAGCTCCTCCGAATACTTGTCAGACCAACCATTCTTCAGAACGCTCCGATCATAATTCGCCGCCGAGATCTGCAAGATCAATGTAAACATTTGCGCACCTGCATGCTTCCAGAAACTAGGTCGAGAAACGCCTGCTGCCTGCAAAACCAGAATCCCATCGACAAGCCAACAGGATCCTGCCTCTAATCTGCACGTGGGGCATGTAAGTAGCCCACGTGGAAAAAGCTCACTGCAGACTGACTATGTAACACGACAGTATAGAAGCTCAGCAAGACACAAGTTAGAACGACTGGCATGCAGTGCAGAAGCAGCACACGCTACAGGATGACATGGCTTTACACATGCACATTCTACAGGGTGGCATGGCTCTTCGTGCACAGGGAAAGCACGTAGTCATTGCAAGCATGCGGCCTGAAGACACAAGATCCAACCATGAAGCGTTGAACGGATTCCAAGTCGATTCCTCACTAGCACGCCGGTAGGGCTGTGACAGACTACGATGCAGGCAAAAGTTGAAATAGTCCTGTTGTAATGAGAGTAATACTAGTACGTATGAATTTGCCTTTCCGAAAACATACAAGCAATCACCAACAACAGTAGTCATAGTGCTAGTTATCGCTGCGGCAGCTTGCTCCGTCAGGGAACGGTACAGAAGCAGTCAGAAGCACACAGGTGCCGACCGGCGCCGGCGATTTCAATCACTTGGTGTTTACCAATACAGTTGCACCAAGGCAGCTTCAAGCTGCATGTTCCGAAAAGGCTGTACGGACAGATTAGACATATTAGACCTGTTTGGAGAAACACCATATGCATGCAGATTCGTGCATCAGCACCTGCCACAGCATTGCATCTACATGGTACAGGCCATATCCGCCTCATTACATCATAACACGCGAGAGCTCAAGTTTTGATCGCCATGAACGTACATATGTGCAACACTTTATACTCGCGGGTCCTTCACATGTTCTGGAGAAGGCCCAGGTCCTTACTCCCGTACTGGAAAACATCGAGACAGCTTCACTGCGGATTCTGCGACAAATCCGGTTTATGGAGGCCGGGAGGCGCAACCCGAAGCTCCGAGAACACGGAAGAGCTTAACCCGTATGCGTCCTTCTGTCCAGAGTGGCGTGCTGAGCGACAGGGACCCCAAGCCCTGTGTAAGCTGGGGTGCCTGAATTCATGTCGAGCTTACAGGAATACGATGAGGATGTGCATTGCTGAAGGTCTCTCGGGTTTTCGGACTCACTTTCCGAAGCTCGCGCTGCTGCTTGGGCTGTCTCTTGAACCACAGACTGCAGAGTCGTTCTCTAACTCTGATCATGCAACGCGAGGCACAGGAGCCACAAGATCAAACCATTCGGAAAAGTGAACCATGGCAGGCACCTCAAGGCTTGTTTAGCTTGTCACTTTGGCTCGCATGTGACGTGAGGATGGCCGGGTTACTCAGGGTTCGCACCTGCAGGCGAGAGGGTGGAGCTTCTTGGTTTCAGCAATCCAAGGTACACAAGCGCAGCTATAGGTATGGTCCAGCCTAGTATGGTATAGTTGTACAGTGTGGTATGGTAGAGCAGAGCAGCCAAAGCATGATAGAACCTATACATATGTACACTGTATGTACATCTCTATACATATGCATATTATATATATAAACACTATGCAGACATATGTAGATATAGATAGATTTTTTCCTCGCTAGAAACTACGGGACGACTCGAGAGAGAGAGAGAGTCTTGGGCTCTTGCACCTCGGAACCCTAGATTCCTAGAACACCTGAACCCAAGGCCCAAGGCCTGTGCTCACTTCTCAGTGATGCTCACAACAGCCGACCAAGCAGCTAAATCCTCCCAGGAGGTATGGGGGCCTTAATCATTCGAGTATTAGAGGGCTTTGGCGTATATTGATATTTAGTTCTTCAAGCTTTTTTTGTGATTAGGTCGGTGCCCCCCTAACCCACCCTGATGCGAGACAAAACCTCCAATTCCGGCGTTGCCCTCGAGGATTCTAGCAGCATCTCT